AATCAGCCGTTTGAGCGTGTTGTGGCAATGGCAGACATTACGTCGCATTCGTCTACTCGCCTGAAAATTCCCTTAACCGCCGTTTTTCCGTTATGAAACTCGTCCAACCCCTTTTTCTATTTTTTTTGACCGTTTACATTTCTTTTTTTCGCTGTTTTTCGCGTTTTATGCTTTACCATTGTCCTAATGTAGGCCTTACCTATCACTATCTGTGAAATACCGGATACCCCTAAATTATCGTGAACGGTGCCTTTGAACGCTTGCAAAACCCTTTGACGCATCATATAGACCAACTATAGCCCTCCTTCACATTTGCGCAGCACCAGAAATGCTAAAACAGGTAAATTTTTTCGTCGGCTCCACAGACCAAATAGAGAGGCTGCACACCGCTCCCTTCTGCTCCCGGCACTTAAGGTCACAATACAACCCACATGATGAGCAAGGAACTTATGCTCGATTGGGTTAGAACGTGCGCTGCATCAACAGATTTGCCTTCAACCCTACTGGTCGTCGGCTCATGGAGAGGACCATGAAGCGGTTTAGGCAGCTTTGCCAACTGGCAAGCAGCTGAAAGTGCTCAACATTTCACCTGACGCAACTTCCCAAATTGAACCTCTCGATGTATGTTTTTCCTTTCTACCTAAAACCATGTATAAGCGTACTGGCTCTTTCGTAATTTATCATGATCTGGACTTCCACGTTAACAACCACAACTCCATAATTCGCCCTATCATCACTAGTGTACTTCTTGTTTAGGGTAACTAGATTCAAAAAGTTTCTTTCTTACTCATCTTTTGCATCAGGGTACCTGGATTGGGACTTCGGAGAATTTGAAGCTCCTGTAGGAAATTGTTCCTCATCTCAAGTAGATGGACACTGTGAGTTATGGGTGTGGTGAAGTTTCTATCATGCGTTGCTCACATTGTGGGAAGCTTTCCTGCTTCAAACACCTTGTGTTGGCTTATCATATCTGTTCATAAAATGTTCACCTACTGTTTCGATAGTATTTTTGCATGAAAATGACAGCTGCACCCGCTCACTTCTACCCATAGAGGGGTGTTATTTCATCCAAAGGCGCTATACCCTGACGCGTCATCCGGCAGCGCTCTTTTGAAAGTGCATGGAGCTGCTCAACTTCTCGGGTGCCGGGAGCAGAAGGGAACTATGTGATCCCTCCCTATTCGGTCTGTGAAGCCGACGAAAACATTTACCTGTATTAGCATTTCTGGTGCTGTGCAAATGTGAATGGGGGTCCCAACTGCGCCATCGTTGCGTGTGAGATATTCATTGGTTCTCGTATAAAAGCAAAAACTTGACATAACGCTTGGGGAAAGGGGGCCCGTAACTCTATTCCCAGAATCGTTTCGCAGATTTGGAACCCAGATTTGAGATCAGCGTTCGAAACTACCTACGTCGGTATACATCTCATATTGAATGGCCACTGCGACTTGGTATCCTTCCCTTGTTAGTGTTGCACGAATACAGTGCTGTTGATAGAATGACATGGCCATACCTAATCCGGATGGAGCTATGAGATCATAGCGACCAGGCTTCGGGTACATGTGATTAGGACAAAACCGATAACGAACGAGGTAACTCATATGGTGACGGAAATTTCAAAGTCCCGAAAGGAACCTTGTCATTGTGCAGCGTGGCGTCAGTTGGGCACTCTACTTCTACTCCTTGACATATCAGCTTTACGTGGCAACGCCAGTCCACGTGACGGACATCCGTCGTCGACGAAAAGATGGTTCTGAAAATAGGAACGTGAAATCTGGAACTCGTTTTGCTTATTAAATATTCTGTTCACCTTCATTTCTACTTTTCTAGGTCTGCCACGTTTTCCGTAGCGTGTTGCCAAACCCTTGATCGGGTTATAGCTTACTTCTGATGGAATTTTCTCTGACTGGTTGAATGGAAGTTCTTTTGGGAGCTTGTTTCCTCCGAACAATGTTACTAATGCAGGGTTCTCTGGCGCGGTAAGCACGCGAAATGGACCTTCCCATGGGGTGACCAGTGTAGGGTGACGCGATTTCCCTTTTTCTGCCGGGATTTTCACATAAACTCTATCCCAACGTTAAATTTCGTGCATGAGTGTTCCATCCTTTGTCGTAGTTCTTTTTCATCCTATTACGATATTCATTGGCGTTTTCCTTGATATAATTGCGAGCCATTTTTAAACCATTCAGAAGTTCAGTTTTATAAATATTGTACTCTTCCATGTATGGTGATAAAACCTTTGATGGTATAACAGCAAGAGCAGAAAATGTGGACTTTCCCCAGTGGCTTCATGGCGCTGCATCGTAGTCGGTAGAATCGGTACACGATCGTCGGTAGAATTCTATCCCACTCCGCTGGCACAACTGTCTGTTTTTTTCCCCTGTGCATTTTAACAATGGTTTCATTGGCTCTTTCCGTTACACCATTTTACCTCGGGCAATACCCCTCAGTAGATTTTTGTCGAATGTTCATAACCGAGCATAGGTCATGATAGAGTTCTCGAACTCGTCACGATCTGGAAGCAAAACCGTTGGCCATCGATCGCATCCGCAGATCCATTTACTGAAGAGTGCTTCGGCAACTGTTTCAGCCTTTTTATTTGAAATAGGATAAGCTCCCAATTATTTTGTGAAGTGGTCCTCAATGGTTACAATGTAGCGATTCCAACGAGTAGTTAAGCGCATTTCGACTAAGTTGATCCCGACAATTTCGAATGGCTCTAGTGAAAAGATAGGCTTCGGAGGGGGGACGTTTCCCTTGTTGTTGTTTGTCAGAAAGCAAGCATGGCATTCTTCGCGCCACCTTAACAAGTCTTGATGCATGCCTGACTAAAACGCAACTTTCTTCAACTGATTAAGCATTTTGCGAGCGCGAAAATGATGACCTAGGGAGCCATATGAGATTCACCAACCAACGCTTGTTGTTGACCCCTTGGTACCACTGGGACCTATGAACCTTCTCAAATGAGTTTGAGTTGCCGGCCTTTAATCGCGAAATCAAGTGAACTTAATTTCCGTTTGAACTTCTGAAGTCTCACTTCTTCCTCTCTCTCGCTTTCCACTGTGTCAACAACTAACCCAAAGTCGGGGTCTTCCCGCAATTCTCTGTGCCAGTCGTGTTCCTGTACAGAACACACCACTTTTTCGTCTGCTATCCAGGCAGATCCATTTTCCCCCTGAGCGTCTACGGGTCCTCGTGATAGCGCATCTGCAGCGCTATGCGCCACTCCTTTTACATGCTCAATGCTCAGGTCATATCGCTGTATCTTCAGCGTCCAGCGCAAAACACGTGGGGAAACATGGACTCGCCTAAACAGCGGCGTGATCAGTTCGCACTATTGTATGAATTTCAAAAATAAAAAAGTGAAACTTCTCGACACTACAAACCAGTGCTAAGACTTCCTGATCTGTCACGCAGAAGAAAGAAGAAGAACTCCGCAGAAGAAGCGAATTAGAAGCGAAGAAAAGTGTATGTAAGAATCCTTCATCCTTTCCTGAGCTAATACAGCTCCAACGCCAATTCCGCAGGTCGGTATAGATAATAAAGTGTCGGCTTTTGTCAAAGCCCTCTCAATATTAATCTGCCCCAATACAGGAGCGTTTGATGATGCATCTTCTAGTCCCTCAAAAGCTTTGTTCTGTTCATCTAACCAGTTAAATTTGGTCTTGGGACCAGTCAGTTCGTTCAAGCTTAGCAATTTCGGCGTACCTTAAGATAAACTTGCGATAATAACCCGTCATTCCCAGGAATGTTCTCAACTGAGCAATATTGCGTGGTTCTGGATAATTCCGAATATTGTACACCTTGTCAGGGTTGATTTTTATACCGTCCCTGTCTCTGACACGGCCTAAAAATTCTAGACTGAATTGCATAATCCGAAATTTCTGAGATTTCACCTTCGGGTTGGCTTTCCGAAAAGCCTCAAGCACTTGTTCTAGCACCTCTGAATGGCGCTTTTCATTTTCAGTTGCAATTAGGATATCGTCTAAGTAAACAGAGGCTTCTGTTCCTTTTAGGTCATCGAGAAATTGATCCACTAATTGCTGAAACAACTAAATGTAGTGCATTAAAATGGATCAATCCGCAAGTTGTGAAAGCGCTTATTTCCTTCGCTCTGTCGTAAGCGGTTCTTGCCAGTAATCACTAGCCAAATCGGGAGATGAAAACCATCTGATTCCTTGCAGGTTTTGAAGGGTTGTATCTATTGTGGTAATGGGTAGCAATCTTTCTTGGTTACTTTGTTCACTTCTCTATATTCAGTACACAACCATGTGCTGTCGTCTTATTTGCTACCAGCACAATTGGAGAGGCCCAGGGTGATTGGCTTTCCTAAACATCAGTATCATATTTTACCAAGATGGTTTGCTGAAGTTTAAAATCACTTATTGCGAAAGTTTCACAAAACTTCTTCAGAATCTCCAGCAGCGCTTCCGGCAGTTTTTATGGACTAGGATTTTCTTGAATCAAATCGACCTCGACTAGACTAGACTGTCGTCTGACTTGTCTATAGCCTTGGGAGACCTAATAGAACAAGAGTCTGACCACTCTCCGAGCGGCTGACTTTCCAGGTCTGGGAGTCGCGGTTTGCAACGGAGATTTCCGTGCTACCTTTCTCGAGACGACATACCCCTGAACAAACACGGCAATCATTGGACCAGAAAAACTGCTCTCCAAACTTCTTCGAGCTATCAAACACAGTTTTTGCGGCGGCTCCCGGTGGTATAACTACCCTTTTAGTCGCCTTTGCATGTTCTAGTAATTATGTTCTCTTCCGCAATAGCTCTTTGCTGGGTTCAAATCTTAATTGAATTCCTGGAGCATTAAAGGCATAAGTTCTTCGAAGCAGGGTATTTTCCTTCCTTTTCTGGACGTGCATGGTAACTTGAATGCTATCCGCACTTGCTAACTTCTGCGTTTACAATTGCAAGAAACTTCATTGGTTGCCTGACGCATCGAAAACATGCTCGCTTCCATGCCCTACCATTTCAGCCTTTTTATCAATGTCAAAGCCTTGCATCTTAGCTTGCTTGAACAGACCAGCTGGAAGTATGGATATCACTGATCCTGTATCTATTAGTGCTTCAGTCGTGAGTTCAGAGACCTATATGTCGTACAACGTCAGTTTCCCCACCGCCACTGTACTTGGATCTACAGGTGACTGGTAGGTACGGACCATCCCACATCACTCCTCTACAAATGTGGAGAGTAATTTCTTGGGAGCATGCTCATCCTTATCGTTCCTCATTGTTCCATAGCTTTTTCCGCCATCGATGGGACCTTTAGAAGTGGATTTATTTGGACAGATGGCACTATAGTGACCTTTCTCCCCGCAGTTATAGTATTTTCGGATGCCCTTATCATCATAGCTAGAGGTTGTCGCCTTTTGAGCGCTAACCTTTATTCCAACTTTTCAAAATTTTCTTCCCTGAAGGACTTCGCCATTTGGGTCTTCTCAAGCCTCAACGCAACCCCTTTGACGGCTTTGTAAGTCTCCCCGTTGTGCCCTTCTAGAGCGGCTTGCATATGGTACGAGTCTTTCCAATGCTGTAGGCAGAAGTATAATTTAGAGGCTAAATGGAAATCCCAGTCGTTACTTGGGTGGATTTTTCTAGAGATATCCTCCATTTGGCAGCAAAATTTTGCCACTGGTTCACCATTCCTCTTCTTGAGTTTGTCCCACTAATCAATGATCCCGTAATTCTTTGCGAGGGGACGTCGGGCTTCTTTGAGTGCTTGCACTATTCCAGCAAAACTACCCTTCTTTACACACTCTGGTAACCCTTTATAGAACGGATCGGCCCAAGCCTATCAGCTTGTTTACCAGCATATCACGTCTATCGCCATCTGGCCACTCTGTTAAGAGATAGTTCATTTATACTGCCCGTAAAAAGTCACTTAAGGAGGTCTTCCCGTCATATTTATGCAGCTCAGACACGCTTTGCGCTTTGAAAACTTCTTCAAAAACGCTCAATATTCCGTTCATTGCATGGGATATGTGACTAGTATCTGGCTTTCCCTCTCTTATGTAGTTTTGGAGAACAGAACTCGACTCACCGACTGTCGACGCGCTGCAAGACAGCAGATAAGATGGACTCGACCGTGAGCTGCAAATTGATCTCGGGTGCTTTGGTCGCCCATTTTTCGTTTCTGGGCACACGGACTGCCTGTTCTGAACATTTCGATTCATCGCCATTATTCAATGACAGGAGCTGCTTGCTCACAGCAGACCAGTATACGCCAATGTTTTCTTCATCATGGGCATCACATCACGTCATCATTCAGTGGCTGTCCGACCTTCTCCCGAGGTAGCAAGCTTTGTTGTCCTGCAAATGACTTTTCAGACTTCTAAGAATACCTAGTTCTTCATTTGTGGTCATCACTTTAGCCAAAACCTCACTGGTTTCGCAGCCCATTTCTTCTGTCAGAGTTTACATCAAGCTGCTTTTATTATGTTATTATTATTATTATTTTAATTTAATATAATTCACAGTTGGCAAAACTTTGCTCAATTTTCCTGGGGTTACTACAATTTCCTCAAAAATCGAGTGCCCAGCTTAACCAATTGACATTCTGCTTTTTCTGTGCGGACAGGTTGCGAATGTGGTCATCCACACTATCCCCTAAGCGGCCAAAGGCACCAGCTAGCTGAGAATTCATTTCACCCACTTTTGTTCCAGTTCTGTTGCTGTCTCCAACAACCATGTCTTCTACTGTGTTCCTCACAGTTATTTATTCGAGCTCATTTGGCTTGGCTCTCATGTAATTCGCGTCTAATGGATTTCGTAGATTTCAATCGAGCGTGATTGAAACTTACTTCAGTTGCGTTCAATATGTCTGTTACAGAGTGCGAATACTTTTCATCAAACGATACGAAAACAATGAGACTCGAAATTCAAAGACAAAGAAAGTAAATGCAATGTTTAAAGAGGGCAATAATGCGAGAGTGGCGAGAGTGAGTGAATCTTAGTTAGCACTTAGATGAGAGATTGCCATATATAGTAGCACCTAGGCCAGGTCAGGTGCAGTGGTCCGCAGGCCATTGCACCTCGGGATACCACGTATCCCCCCGTGCTCGATGCGCCGATCTCGAGACGAGATCGAGATCGGGCACCGGTATGGCACACACACACACTACGAGAAACAATCAGACCCTTCTTAACTTCCTCGCCACTTGTAGTGAGAAATATACATGTACCCTAAGATTCATTTCTTTCACCTTGAACACCTTTTCGACAGAAAAAATTGTATCGAAGCACGTGGGGTACGGCATTTGTTCTTTCTCTCAAATTTCTTGTCGAAAAATTCATGAGGTATGCGAAACCTATTTGTACACAATTGCATTTGCTCGGGGAACACTTCCTCGTAGTAGAACATTCATTCAATTCGGCAATCATTTTTTGTATAATATTTGTACAGGTTCCGTAGCATAATCATTCTCAAGCAATTGCACTGAGAAAAGTGGTCGTAATCAAGACAAGACGACCTTAAGGCTGGCCAATGACTAGTCCACGCACCGCTATACAACAGATTCTCATGCGAGGATTGTCGAAAAGACGTGAGACCCCGAAAATGGACTCGCAATACGCGCAAAGACTTAAAGGCTGCTGGACGGTTGCGAGACATCACCATTTTTGAAAACTGACGAATTGAGAACATCAAAGCAGATATGTGAGCTAAGGTATATGATGCAAGTAATAAAAGGCGCAGATTTGAAAAAAAAACAAACAAGACAGTTGCGGACTTCTTTGAAGTTGTTGTCATAGTTATGACGCACCCTGTAGTGTGAGGATGTAGGGCGATACGACTTGTAAATGACGAAATGGTGTAGTTGGACGATTATCAATAGTTCTTTCTGGACTTAAAAGGGAAGGATCCCAAGTCGAAGTGGCCATTTGCAATGAGACCAACAGTACTAGACGTATTTTTTGATGCTGATTTCAAATCTGCATTCAAAATCTGCCAAAGGATTCTCTGAGCGAGGTTATGAAGATGGTCTCCAGAGAGCGCTCAACGGGGGAAAGCACAAAAGACATGGTCGCCGGTACATAGCAAGTGGTGGCTTGGAGTAGAGGTAGGCGTGACGCTTCATAGGCATGAGACCAAGGATCGGGTTTGGTGGGCGACAGCTTGTTTGCATTTTGCAGGACTTTTTACTCCAGGTTGTAAAAATCTTTTTATATTAGTTTTACCGCCTTCGGCAACTTTTTGAATGCTCGAGGAGAAGCAGTTCCTGCCTAGGCAGTCTTCCTCTCCGCAGTGATATTGATAGTTTTTGAAAAAGATGGAGGTTGAAGCCAGTTTTCAAAAGGTAAGGGCTGCAACGAGGCAAACGCGGCTAAGTATGGTATAAATGGATGGAGTAACACTAAAGAACAAGGAGTATGTTCTGCCCAGAGTCGGTAGTGTCGCACCTGTTTAAGAACTTTGGTTCCTGTGATGTCGGACGCGCCCCTACAAGGAAGGAGCAAAAGTTGATAGATAGTTTCTCTTCTATCATGCGAAATGCCACTTACGAAGACCTCGATAATGGGTGCGAAGAAGGCTGTGGGATGATGAAGAGGAAACAACATGCACATCTAGAGGGTCGTTTATGTTTGGTAATGTGGAAGTGTCCGAAGAGCAGGTAAGTACAAGTTCTCCTTCCCAAAACATTTATTAGATCGAGATAACCAAACAAATCCTCGTGATCTCGAATCTAGATGTCAGACGGTTTAAATAGGAACTGACTCGCCTCCAGCAACTAAAAAGTCGTGAAGACGGCAAAACTAACATAAAAAGATTTCTCCAACATGGAGAAAAAGAAAAAGAAAAAAGTATGAAGCGTCACGCTTACCTCCACTCCAAGCCGCCACTGCTGGAATGCCGGCGACCATGGCTTTTGTGTGTTCCCCTGTTGAGCGCTCTCCGGAGGCCACCTCAATAACTTTGTTCAGAGATTCGTTTGGCAGATTTTGAATGCAGATTTAAAATCAGCATTAAAAAGTACGTGTGGCACTGTAGGTCTCATTTCGAATGGCCGCTGCGACTTGGGATCCTTCCCTTGTTAGTATGTTCGATCTTTGAGGCAATAGGAAAAATAGGGTGGCAAAGCAGCCCCGAAGATAGCGGACGACATTGGTCAGTCCATTTCCAGTATCGATTTGTGCTATTCCAGAAGAACTGTTTCAACATTCATTTCTGGACCCTAAAGGAAGGAAAGAGTGGCACAACTTAGTAAGGCATTTTGAGTTTAGTATGGAAAGAGGGCAAGCCTGGAGTAGGCTGGTCTATCTCCCCCTTTGAAGTATCGAGAGTAAGATGGATCCTAAGATGTGCTCCAACATTATGGAAGTTTTTATCTACCCCTTTGTTCGCGGTACTGGCCCCAGGGTCTTCATTTTCCTGCCGGACCTGACCCGAAGCACAAATCAAAGCTGATCACCGACTGATTCCGTTCCTCTGCTACCGTGGCCACTGACAAGGGAAGGATACTTGGCCGCAGTGGCCATTCAAGATGAAATGTAGACCGCTGTAGGTGGTTTCGAATGCTGATCTCATATCTGTGTTTTGATATGCGGAACGGTCAAGGGAACAAAGTTACGGGACCGATACCTCCCTTTATTATACCACAATAACGAACGGATCACCGAGCCGAGCAAAGTTTTACCTGTGCCACGGTGGCCTAGCGGATAGTGTGATGGACTGGTGGGTATGGCATCAAGGTTCGATTCCTTGATGTGTGCGTTCGTTTTGCTTTTCTATAAAATGCGTCCTGAACGCTTACAGAACCCTTTTGAGCTCAATGTTGGGCATCTACAGGGCTCCCTCACAGTTTAGGACTCCTGAGAATAGTGATCCAATAAAAAAATTTTTTACCACTACTGACCGAATATGTGCGCCTCTTCACCCCCAACGATCAAGTTGGTGTTTTGAAATTTTCGGCAGCGCCCAACACTTACGGTAGAAGACTGTCGGATGACTCATCCGACTAGAGCCCACTTTGAAAGGGATGCGGTCCACACATTCTAGGAATACAGTCAACACTTACAAAGCGATGGTGCAAGTTAACTGGCATTGTTGAAGAAATCCTATCATGTACCACCTCACCGCGGTGATAGGGTGACACCATAACAAATGGTGGGAAACGGTACACATGGTCACGCAGTACGCGTAGCACGTAGTATGGGCGGCTTCTTTGTATCCCTGGCAAGGAACAAAGGAGTAACCGAGGCCAAACAAAACTGCTCAAACAGCTATAATTGCGCCCCAGTTCTGCGCACATCGAGTATGCTCCCTACGGCGTCGGGGGAAGCCTCTACTGATGAGGGGCCATCTAATCTCGCATGAGAATCAGGACGTCATCGGAACCGGAACCCTGGAAATCTCCCCAAATCGCGACACATGGACTGCCTTTTCGTCTGCTCGTATAACTGCCGCACTATAGCATCGGAAGCCAGCCTTCGGATGCTCTTACTAAGTAGCCGGCTGGTTAAATATGATGTTATCGCACTACAGAAGACGAAAGGCAGAACGGAAACCATTCGAAAAACGGACCACAACGAGCTGCTCAACATCGGGCCCAAGGCGGACGGCAATGTTGGTGGAGTTGGATTTCTGATCAATTCTACAATCGCCCACCTAGTAGACTCGCATAACATCGTCAGTCCGCGCTTTGCTGTCCTCCGTCTGCGCGCAAAAGAGAAGAGCTATTATAAATATGTCGTAGGCGACTTCAACGCCGTCGTGGGCACGAACTGCACTGGAGATTGGAGGCTCGGACCTCATGGCTTTGGCGACAGGGCTGAAAACGGAGAACTTCTTCTAAACCTACTATATGCGTGCCGCCTTTTCCATGGAAATTCAATGTTCGAAAAGCCAGCTAAGCAACGATGGACTTGGGAAAGTCCAAACGGCCGAACGCATACGGAAATAGATCATGTTCTCACTAATCGACGCTGGAGTCTACTTGACGTATCCGTGTTGCTCTCTTTTGATACCGGCTCGGATCATCGCCTAGTGCGTGCAAAAATACGACTCAACAAGCGAATATTCAAGCGCGACACGCACAGGCCCGCATACTTCAAGACTCCCTCCTTTGATACAGAGCTACTCGAATCTGCCATTGAAGCTTACGATTGGCGTCTTTTAGAGGATCCCACAGAAGATTACGAGTACCTAACAAGAGGCTTGCTTAAGTGTACGATATTTCCCGTCGTTCGCAGCCAGCCCGAATTCCGAGGTAGAATGCTCTCGCCGTCTCACTCTTGGNCGTGGATTACAAAGAAGCTTTCGACTCTGGAGATCAACGCCGTTTTAAACGCTCTTGCGCAAGCTGGAGTTGACCCCGCCTACGTCCATCTGCTCGAACAGTGCCTTTCAAACACATCAACATCCATCCAGCTGTTCGAGCGAAAGCTGAAGATTCCAGTTAGAAAGGGAGTGCGACAAGGAGATACGATATCTCCAGAGCTTTTCACGGCTGCGTTACAGTATGCGATGTTGAACCTCGACTGGGAAGAAAGGGGATATTCCGTCAATGGCAAAAACGTCAATAACCTCCGAATCGCCGATGATATCGTTTTGATATCTAGCAGTACTGCTGAGATGGAGAAGATGATCAACGAGCTCAATGCGGTAAGCCGGCGGATAGGCTTGGAGATGAATATGTCCAAGACGCAATTAAGGGTCAACCAGTGGTGCGATACGGGAACAGTAAGATTAGATGGAAAAGCTCTGCAAAGAGTTGAATCCTACGTGTATCTGGGAAGAGAGCTGAACATGATGAACAATATCACTCCGGAACTAAACCGGAGAAGACGGGCCGCATGGGCAGCTTTTGGTTCAATCCGCGAAGTGACAGACCAAGTCAGCGATCCCGACCTTAAGGCATCGATATTCAACGCCTCAGTACTGCCAGCGATGTGTTATGCGTCTGAAACATGGCCCGACCACAAAACAATCGTCAAAGCCATAAGAACTTCTCATCACGCGTTGGAAAGAAGTTTTCTGAAAATCAGTCGACGCCAACAGTGGCAGCAAGGCTTGCGGAGCTTAGACCTAAAGGAGAGATCGCGTTTGAAAGATCCGCTTCGATACATGGCACATTCGAAGCACCGCTGGGCCTGTCATCTACTTCGTCGAACAGATGACAGATGGAGTCTCCGAGTCACAGAGTGGCTTCCGAGAAACAAAACAAGACCATCAGGACGCCCGCCGACTCGGTGGGCCGACTCGTTTTCCAAAAATTTCAGAGACAACGGCCTACATTGGATGCAAGTCGCGAAAGATCGGGCGGTATGGAGGATCTGTGGTCCCCACTGAGAAGAGCCTCTTGCCGATGGACCATCAAAGTATCAAAGTATCAAAGTGTTGAAGAAATACAGTAGAACAATAGTTTATCGCTTTGTGCGCACATATGATTATCCGCTCATTCTTGAGGTAAACCTCGTTTCAAGGGAAACGTGATGCGGTGGGACATGGTACCACGGCTCCCTTAAAACCTTGAATCCTCCAATGAATTTTTTTTTTGAATTTTCTTCCCATGGGCATTCATTGTTGATTTGAAGCGGTATCCTGTGGAAATGGGTGTCGTGCAGTGGGACTCCTATATTAAATTTATGATAACTGATCCTTCCAACTCATCCGTTATCAAAAAGGTGGGCTGTCGCCAACTCTCCAACTTTCCATAGGCAGATAGATCGGTCCGCTTGTTTTACACCTGATAACTGCGACCACATAAGACATTGTAAGTTGTAATAATAGACTAATTCGAAAGCTCATGCCCTCTTAATTTCCGTGGACAGCACTCTGTCGTGATGATACAAAACGTGTTCCTTATGGTCGAGGGAGTGCGGCTCCTTTGAGACCCCAACTGTGGGAATATGGATTCTTCTACCAGCTCAGCTCGGCAAAATTGCAGCTCATGGGCCAGATCACAAACCTGAAGGCTACGTTTCACGTTTCGTTTCGGAATCTTTATATCCCCACAAGCGGAGGAGGTTTTATTCGCGAAGTTACGGGTCTATCGTCGCTGTCCTCATCAAACGACCGCAGGGGATCATTTTGATCGCCTTTCGGACTCGACTTCCTCGCAAAGGATAACGGGCTTGCTTTCATAGCATCGATAAGTACTGTTCGAAACCTCTTCATTAACGCATCTTCCCAGATGGTGTCTACGTCGTGCTACAGAACCGAAGGTCCTTCATCATATTTTATGACACTACATTCGTTCAGAAGATTCGCTGGAGTGTTGAAGAGCGTTTGATCCGATGAATCAAATGGTACCTATCTTCTTGAAGCCTCAAGAGCCCATTTTGAGCAAATACTTAGAATTCCTCTTGTGCTCAAATGGAGCTCCACCCTTATTCGGCCGGTGAGGGGCAAAATAAAACTTTCCTTGTAACTCCTTTTCAGTGTTCCTAAATTGTGAGGGAGACCCAATTTAGTGTTCCTAAATTGTGTAGATGCCCAACATTAAGCCAAAAATAAGGCGTATTTTATGGATAAGCAAAACGAGCGCATGCATCAAGGAACCGAACCTTGATGTCATACCCACCAGTCCACCACACTATCCGCTAGGCCACCGTTGCACAGGTACGGCTTTGCTCGGCTAAGCGATCCGTTCGTTACTGTGGTATAACACAGGGGTGCATCGCTCCCGTAACTTTATTCCCACAATCGTTTCGCAGATTTGGAAACACAGATTTGAGATCAGCGTTGGAACCACCTACGGGGTATACATCTCATCTTGAATGGCCACTGCGACCAAGTATCCTTCCCTTGTGAGTCCCAATGAACATCTGTAGGATTGGCCCGAGTGTCAAATTAAAGGTCTCTGGGCTCACAGCGAGCACGACAAGCTCCGCAACTGAAAAATGTTCGAGAGAACATCC